GCTGGCGTGCTGCGGAGCAAGAGACCGGCCCAACCACCAAACACACTTTTTGAGCTCGAAAAATAAACGAGCCGAACACGAGCTGAGCATGACTCGCTCGTGTTCGGCTCGTTTACACCCCTATTAGTACTAGCTCGAGGTAAGAAAACTGACACACTATATATGACTACATGCTTACTCAGGCGTGGACACATGAGTTCGAGACGCATTATGGGGAAACAAAAGAATGTCAGTTTCTTGAAAGGTGACAACGCAAAGGGGAGGAAAACTGGATCTTTTACACACAAATGTCTGAGGACATTCTCCAGTGACATCTCTTGGAGACTCTAGTTACTGTAGAAATCTAAGATTTGTTGATCTACCAGAGGCCACAGTACAGGGCAGTGATGGAAGTGAAAAGAAGAGTGGGTCTGGGACACCCATTTCTATTGTTTAACAGATAGATGGTGGAGAATCACAGAGCTATGAAGAAATCTTGCAAGATGAAAATTCGAGCAAGTAAGAGTTAGCATAACTTCCACCAGAGAAGAAAGCATTGCACAACAAGTGGGTGTACCGGGTGAAGACTGCGTTTGATAACAGTAAGAGGTATAAGTATGAACTTGTTGAAAAAGGTTTTCAGCTGAGACAGGATATTGCCCATGCAGTGAGAGTTGTAAGTAGATTCATGAGTAACCCAGGAATGAGCTTGGAGGTACAAGACTACGTTGACACTGATATGTCAACTAAGAGTGTTACTTTTGGGAAACTGAAATTGTGCACAATTTTAGTTGGTCTTACAACATGAAGACAGGAGCCATGAGTTGCAGAGGTGAATGAAAGTGGAGGATATCATGTTTGAAGAAAAATGTCGGTACAACCAGCAGATGATGCTGTCTGTAGGTGGTGCAGTCAGTGTCTCAGTCTCCAAGTGAGAGAATTCTTAAATATATGGAGCCTGTGACTTACCAACCTCACCCACCGCGTCCCACCTAGTTCTCTCTCCCTACCTCTCTCCCGTTTTCTTTAAATAGTTTCTTTTAGCCTGTCATAAGTGCTAAGTCAAGTCCTATTTGAGAGCTAAGAGAGAGAAATGAAGAGAGAAAGAGAAATGAAGTTTTCTTGTAAACGTCGAGGCGCTCGACTGTGTAATTTCTCGAAGTATCTCGAAGTAATAAAATCCTCTGTAGCCTCTGTAGCTCATTGGACGTAGACAAATTAGCTGAACCACGCAAATATGTGTGTTATTGCACTGGTTTGTAATTTTTTGATCTGATTTTTTCATTTTATTGCCGTCGTTTTTCATAACACTTAATGGAGAGGATGCGACGAATTCATGCAGTAAAATCTAAATTTTATTTTCGTTCTGAAGTGCTCTCAAGTAAAACCCAGCTTCCTCTAGCTTTGCAAAATGTGTGGCTTTGGTATCACACGCCTGGGAGATAGTTACATAGAGCCCAACCAAGACTTACTATTTACAAACCAAACCCCCCCCTGTTTCAACCATTTTTCAAATTCTCACTCAAATATAAAAATTCAGGGTGAAGCTTATTTTTTATTTTTATCAAATTCTCAATAGCTTGGTGGTGGTGCGCATGCATAAATTGATTCCATGGTTCAAGAAAATCACATCGGTGGTTAAATTGTAAATATCAATATTTCAAGTGGGCTGTATGTAATTATCCCAACATTTTTAATTTCAGTTTTCGGTTCATGAAATAATCTTAGTTTATGATTTTAGTTCCGTAAAATTTGATATTTTTTTCACTTATCATTTCCTAAGCATTTGGAAATATTTAGAAAGCTTATATTTATATTTGTACTTGGATAGTGGTTGCCATTAGGGAGAGCAAATAGTTGGCAAGATTTCTTCGACTATTTGTAAAGATTTCTTCAACATGTAAACAACTTGACTTGTTCTCTTAGTTTTTCTTTTATATTAATTTCTTTTTTCTTGATCAATTGTTTGTAAAGTTTGTTTGGTCATTAACCTCGAGGGAATAAATGGGGTTTTACCGGGCTCTTCGACTCATTTTATCTCACAAAACTATTCATTACAAGTGAGGGGAACCAAGAGTTCCCCGTACATCGTAAAGTCCTCTTGTTTATAGAGATAGGAGGGGCTAAAATATATAAATAAACACATATATAGCTTGATTTATAAAGGAGGGAAAAGGGCATTGTATTACATATATTTTTTTATCGTTATTTTGTCTTGAGATCAGTGCAGATCATTTTTCAGTATACATATCAAGTTTTTTTTTTATTTTTTTTGTTTTGTAATAGCGATAAATGCAATAAGAACGAGTAAATTTATAAATTAAATAATTCTTGAGCAAATAATTTGCTAATGATGCCTCTTAGGAGCCGCTTTTCATACTTGGTTCTAGTGTTTTTTACGTCGTCATCCGTTGAGTCTGTTACCTTGGAGTTTTTTCTTTTCTTTTGTTATTGAGGGGAAGTTGTCAGTTTTCAGTGGCCGGTTGGAGGAAAAGTCGGTTACTTAGAAGAAAAATATTCTATCGATTGAAGAGTCGGTCATCAGAGGAAGAGAGGGAAGCCTTGAAGATGCTTGCCATGGAGGGGAGTGTTACGGTTGCTCCCCGGAGGAGAGTCTTAGGGATGCTTGCCCCGGAGCGGAATCTTATGATATGCTTATCCCAAAGGAGAATCTTATGAGTTTTGTACTTCTCGATGCTTGTGACTGATCGGATGCTCTTGTAATCATTGTCGGTTGTTTTTTATGCTTCTAACTGATTGAAAGCTCTTGACATTGCCGGTCGGTTTCACTACCCAGAAGGTTCCCCAAATGTCGATCGGTCAGTCGCATGCATAAACTGCTCAATCTGCCCAAGTTTCGATCATGAACTTCTCACATAAAGATACAAAAAACTATTAAGCGTATTTATCATAAGATAAATTTTGAAGGAAATAACATATATGAAAGTTTTTCGGTCTGAAGCCCTTTATGCGCATAAAAATTGATTATTGTATTTGCTTAAATTTTTAGAAAAAAAAAAAAACATTTTATTTGGCAATTTTAAAGGTCAAATATATTTTCTCAAGCAGAAATAATATAAACATTAATTTTCAGGTGTTGGTCACTAAATACATAGAGAATTGTATACAAGCGTATCCCATGCTTTCATTAAATTATTACTGCGCAATGTCAGAGGCCATCACTTCTACTGTTGGACAAGAGTTTACGAAAATAAAAGGCGTACAACTCTTCTGCATGTGGAAAATATTTGCGTATATAAGACTTACACAGTTCTGTTTATATCAAGGGTTAGTTAGGGGGTACAAAAGAGTTATATTCAAGTTGTACCCTCCTGTAATTTTCATGTAATTTCCTTGTAACATTTGTGTAACTTATTTGCATCCATGAAATTACAGAAAAGTGGAACTCATTTGTAGGTTACAAGTAATTTACAAAAAAGATTATAAGGGGGTTATATAGGGGTATAACCCTGATATAACTCCCTTGTACGCCCTGAATAACTCCTGACATACGCAGCGCTGCATACGTCTTATGTACGCAAATATTTTCCCTGCATGGGGCTCAATTGCTTGTAAAAATTATTATGTCCATTGTTTCGAGCGACGGTCATAATATAGCGGATGACAGACGTAATAATCTCTCTAATTGCTTGCCTTACTTTCGGTATGGTGAAAAATTTGCATTGAAAAATTTTTAATTACGCAAGTCACCTTAATTATATGTTGCCAATTGAAAATGAAAAAAAAAAAAAAGAAATTGGGGCTTATTTTATTGCTAGCAAAATAAAAAAATATGTATGTTTTTGGGGTGATTTTAATTATTTGTAGAAGTAGTTCTTTGATTTTGTTTGATAAAAATTAAGT